AGGCCACTCTGCAAACGCCCTGCAACCGTGTGCAATGTACACAGTTGCAGCCTGCTAGTGTGGAATCCAAGGGGTTAAAGCAGGTGGTAAGGAAGCGAGACAATGCTACCTACTTTAACTTCTTTGTTGCTGTACTGCACAAGGTTGCAGGGCCCTTGCAGAGGGACCCCATTCACTTGAATGTGCCATGCTTGGCAGGCACTACACCTGCCAAGCGTGACAGGGTGTATAATTCCTTCAGGGCTGTGATATGTAAACAGCCCTGGCCACTGCAGCTAAAGGGGGTGCAGTTGGGAAAGGTAAAAAACAAGTCTCAACTAGGGGTTTTACCACTCCCAAACTGCAAATGTAAACAAGCTCTTACTGTCCTGAGCCCTCTATCACAGTTGCATTTTAGGGGACCCCTGGGATGAGGACAGAGAGTTACCCTAGGATGAGGACAGAGAGGGACCCTGAGATGTGAACAGAGAAGGACCCCTGGGATGAGGACAAAGAGGGACCCTGGGAAGAGGACAGAGAGGAGTCCCTTGGATGAAGAAAAAGAGGGACCCTAAAATGATGACAGAGAGGGACCCTGGAATGAGGACAGAAAGGGGCTCCTGGGATGAGGACTGAGAGGGGCCCCTGGGATGAGGATACAGAGGGGTCCCTTGGATGAGGACAGACAGGGACCCTGGAAGGAAGACAGGAGGGGCCCATGGGAGAAAGACAGGGAGAGGCCCCTGGGATGAGGAAAGAGAGGGACCATAAAATGAGGACAGAGTGGGGCCCCTGGGCTGAGGACAGAGAGGGGCCCCTGGGATGAGGATAGAATAGGACCCTAGGATCAGGACTGAGAGGGGCTTCTTGGATAAGGACTGAGAGGAGCCCCTTGGATAAGGACAGAGAGGGGCCCCTGGGATGAGGACAGAGAGGGGTCCCTGGGACGAGGACAGAGAGGGTTGCAGCTGGGATGAAGACAGAGGTCCCTTCTCACATGTCCCATGTCCATTGCCTGTGTCAGGCGGCATCTCTTTGATTTGGGGCAGAGGAGGGTAAGAGGATATGTGCTGGGGGGTGCTTTGGGAAGGGGAGAGGTGCTAATGTGGGGGGGGGGGGCCATATTTAAAATTCCTTCACCCCACCTTCCAGCAGAAGTCCTCTCCCCTCCCAAAGCACCTCCTCAGTACATATCCTCTTACCCATTTCTCCCATCACTCCTCCATGTGTGCATCCTTGTTACCTGCCCCCCACTTCCCAGTCACTGTGTCCTCCTCCTCTGTATCCATCCATAAACTATACACAGACCTCAGATAACCAATGCGGCTCTTGCAGTATAACGTCCCTCCTCTACGGCTCCTCCTCCTGTCTGTATACATGAGAACATTGAAGCCGAAGAGGGAGAGGAGGATCCCCACTGAGCTCTGTGTGGTGTGCGGGCTGTCAGTGGGGAGAGGGAGGGGTCCACAGGCACTCTGCAAGAGATGTGGGGAAGGTGATCGAAGTGCCTATGCTAGTGCAACCCTAGTGGTAACTGTTCTGACAGGGGCTCCAGGATTCAGCACAGATTAGTCAGGATGGAGGTACTAGGAGCCTCTCACGTGGCCCCCTACTGGCTCTGGGCCCTCGAGCAGTGCCCGAGTGCCCTAATGGTCAGTTCCCCCCTGACGCCTATGTTTTATTAAAAAAAAGCAAGGTGAGCAAGGTCTTTCCTTCATAACTGGGGCTCCTAGCATAAATACACTGCTCAAAAAAATTAAAGGAACACTTTGAAAACACATTAGATCTGAATGGGGAAAATATCATGCTGGATATCTATACTAATATGGACTGGGTAATGTGTTAGGAACGTAAGGTTGCCCCATCGTTTGATGGAAATTAAAATTATCAACCTACAGAGGACTGAATTCAGACACCCCGAAAATCAAAGTGAAAAAAATGATGCAGCAGGCTAGTCCATTTTGCTGAAATTTCATTGCAGTAACTCAAAATGGTAGTTTGTATGGCCCCCACGTGCTTGTATGCATGCCTGACAATGGTGGGACATGCTCCTAATGAGACAACAAATGGTATCCTGTGGTATTTCCTCCCAGATCTGGGCCTGGGCATCACTGAGCTCCTGGACAGTCTGTGGTGCAACCTGGAGGCATCGGATGGACCAAAACATGATATTCCAGAGGTTTTCTAATGATTTAGGTCAGGCGAGCATGGGGGCCATTCAATGGCATCAATTCCTTCATCCTCCAGGAACTGCCTGCATACTCTCGTCACATGAGGCCAGGCATTTTCGTGCACCAGGAGGAACCCAAGACCCAGTGCACCAGCTTAGGGTCTGACAATGGGTCCAAGGAGACCTAATGGCAGTCAGGGTGCCATTGTCTAGTGTGTAGAGGTCTGTGCATCTCTCTGTGGGTATGCTTCCCCAGACCATCACTGACCCACCACCAAAACGGTCATGCTGAACAATGTTACATGCAGCATAACATTCTCCACGGCTTCTCCAGACCCTTTCACATCTGTCACATGTGCTCAGGGTGAACCTGCTCTCATTTGTGAAAAGTACAGGGTGCCAGTGGCGGACCTGCCAATTCTGGTGTTCAATGGCAAATGCCAATCGAGCTCTATGGTGTCGGGAAGTGAGCCGTGGGCCCACTAGAAGACATTGGGCCCTCAGGCCACCCTCATAAAGTCTGTTTCTGATTGTTTGGTCAGAGACATTCACACCAGTGGCCTGCTGGAGGTAAGTTTGTAGGGCTCTGGCAGTGCTCATCCTGTTCCTCCTTGCACAAAGCAGCAGCTACTGGTTCTGCTGATGGGTTAAGGATCTTCTATGGCCATGTCTAGCTCTTCTAGGGTAACTACCTGTCTCCTGGAATTTCCTCCACGATCTTGAGACTGTGCTGGGAGACACATTAAACCTTCTGGCAACGGCACGTATTGATGTGCCATCGTGGAGGAGTTTGACTGCCTGTGCAACCTCTGTAAGGTCCAGGTGTCACATCATGCTACCAGTAGTGACACTGACCCTAGCCAAATGCAATAACTAGTGAAAAACAGTCAGAAAAGATAAGCAGAGAAAAAAAATATCAGTGGCCTCCATCTGTAAAGTCATTCCTGTTTTGGGGGTTGTCTCATTGTTGTCCATCTAGTGCAACTGTTGTTTAATTTCATTAACACCAAAGCAGCTGAAACTGATTTAGCAACCCCTTTTGCTACTTAACTGACCAGATCAATATCCCAGGAGTTTAATTGACTTGATGCTATACTCTGATTAAAAAGTGATCCTTTAATTTAGTAATGAGTCTGGTGCAAACTGTGTGTAGTATTGTAAATGGAGCAAAGCATTTCCCATACTTCAATTCTTAAAGCGGTAGTAAATTGACGAAAGAAAAAAAAAAACAGATTCCCCCTGCAAGGAAATGTTATAATGTGCTAGTATGCATCACATACTAGCACATTATGTGAGAGTTACCTTAAAACGTAGCCCTCCGGTGGTGCGCTATCCCCACTGACAGGGCTTCTATCTTCACCCAGTACTCATTCTGGGTTCATAGGGACTGTGCCCACAGCCACGGCACAGCTCTCTCAAGAGACCACATTGTACATGCAACAGTGACATTAACGGCTGCTATACAAGAAAATATCTCCTAAACAGTAGCTGTTTAGGGAATTTTTACAGTGCCTACAGGTAAGCCTTTAAATGACTTTACTACCACTTTAAATGGTCATAAAAGTAAGTTATAAAATCTACAGTATATAAGCCATTCCAGACCTTATACATACAGTAATATGTTCATCTAGATGTTAATAATACAAAATTAGGGAAAATACTATATTTTGTCTGTTATTTGCAGTCACATGGCCACTTAGTTCGCTCTTCCACTTCCAATAGGGAGGGGTGGAATCTCACAAAAACAATCAGCAGCTTACACCAATGTCACAGGTCCCAGAGGCCCTTTCACTCCATGTAGAGTTGTGAAGCATCTCCAGGCTGTGGACATCTCTTGACACACCCTACTTTTGAAGGGCTGACCAGGCTGGCCAAGGGGCCAAGGGGTATGGCAACAGTAATCAAGATTACAGGCATGTTGTTTGTGTCAGCATGGCACCCTGGAGCTCCGAAGTAGGAAGAAAAATAAAATTGACCACGTTAGGATGGGATCTGCCACCATGCCTACTGCAGTGTAACAGCCCTTGCCCGCTTTCCTTTCACTGGCACAGCTTTTAAACCAGGCTTAGACAGAAGACTGCTGTTCTGTTAGTTCAGATCAAGAAACAGCCATTCAGGTAAGCACTCTCTCCCAGTGGCAAGCTGCATAGGGTTAATGCTGCTGACAACCTGCCTGGGCATTAGAGATGCACCTGCAGACAAGGCTAATTGAGGCAGACAGTCTAGCAATGGGCTTGTTTACTGCAGAGTCCCCCCAGATTTGCATTCAGCTCTACATGCTCAGCAGGAGTCACATTACAATTGCATTTATGAAAACATCCTATTTTTGTATCACATCTATGCCTTCCAGGGAGCTCTCATAAACAATCTGCAAGATTTCACAGATAATTAAAAAATTGATTAAAATTGTATTAACCACTTGCCTACCAGGCACTTATACCCCCTTATTTAACCAGGCCAATTTTCAGCTTTCAGCGAAGACTGCCGAACTTTGATTGACAATTGCGCGGTCCATGCAACATTGTACCCATATGAAAGATCATTTTTTTCTCACAAATAGAGATTTCACTGGGTTGCACTTTTTGCGCTATAAATAAAAAAGTGCTCCCATTTGCTTTTATAAAATTTTTCAAACAGGTATTTTTTCTCCTTCACTGATGTGCGTTGATGAGCAGCAGTTAATGCACTGATGCAATGGGCACTGATAGGCAGCACTAAAGGGCACTGATAGGCAGTACTAATTGGCAGATGCACTAATATGCAGCACTAATGAGGTGTCACAGATAGGCGGCAATAATATGGCACTGATGGGCGGCACTAATAGGTGACACTGATTATGGGTACTGATAGACGGCACTGACTGGCATCACTGATGGGCACTGACTGGCGGCACTTGGCACAACCCCTGGGCACTGACTGGTGGCACTGACTGGCAGCACTGCTGGGCTGCACTGGTGGATGGCACTGGTGGCAGCACTGGTGGGTGGGCACAGGTGGGTGGCACTGGTGGGCACAGGTGGGTGGGCACAGGTGGGTGGGCACAGGTGGGTGGCACTTTGGGCACAGGTAGGTGGCACTTCTGGGCACAGGTAGGTTTGCACTGCTTGGGGGCACTGCTGGGCACAGGTGGGGGCACTGCTGGGCACGGGTGTGGGCAGGAGACTAGTGGGCGCACTTTGGAAAACTTGCGGGTGTCATTCTCACATGATCTTCAGTGCCCTGATGATCGGTGCCATCTGACAACTGCCGGTTCTCGGCAGTACTTTCCTCACATCTGACAGCGTGAGGAAAGTGCAAGAACCGGCATTGCATTTTCTGATCATGTCATTGGACAATCAGGTGTAAAAGGCCGCTGTGCATGACAGGTTGTAAAGAGGCCCGCTGTTACCACAACACGTAATCAGCTGTGTCCATAGGACACAGCGATCACGGAGATCGCCGGGTGCGCGCCCCCTGGGCGCGCAGGGAGAGCGCGTTCTGGGAGGACGTCATTAACCCAGAACTGGCCGGCCGCAGTTCATTGCTAAATCTTGCTACTGGTTAAATAGTGTTTTTAGTTTGTGATTAACAGATGCAGTATAGCTTTTTAACCCTTTTGCCCATAGCCGTTTTTGCATTTTTTTTTTGCACACATTTGAAAAATCATTTTAGGCCTGAAGATTACACAAAACTCCCAAACATTATATATTTTCTGAAAGTACACACCATCTAAAATAAAATAGTGGTATCTCCAATGTTTATGTGACATGATATTAACGCAAAGGTCTAAGAAATGCAAAATTTCTGTAAAAAACACACTAAAGTGAATTTTAGGCCAAACAATGTAATACATTACCAAAATTTTAGGTAAAATATAAAAAAGATGAGGTTGCACTGAGTAAATAGATAACCAGCATGTCAAACCTTAAATTTGTGTGCAAAATGGCGACAAACTTCAGCAACCTATATTTTATATAGGACAGCCCACAAAATTTCCATTCGCCTGCTCGCATTTGGCGAGTGAAAATAACATAGGGGCAAGAAGGGCCAGGACTAATAGTGGGTGGAGGGGTGGCTGACAGAATTATTGACAGCAGCATCACTGCTGCTGTCAGCATTGAGCTAGAGAGGGGGAGAGGGCTGGGAGGAAGTTTGTGCTGTGCTCTCTCTCTCCTCCAGGTTCTCCCTCCTGTCACTGCCATGCCGAAATGTCACTACAGGGGGCAATTGCCCCCCCATGTTATTTCTTGCCCCCTGCCCCCCTGCTAAATATAGGCTGGCAGACTGGCAGGTGGGGGCAGTTACAAGCACTGATCTCCCTGTATGGCTTTCAATGAAGCAACAGAAAGCCCACGGGAGGGAGAAGAGGAGAATCTGCTTCTAGCTGCTTCATTGAAAGCTATACAGGGAGATCGGTGCTTGTAACTGCCCCCACTGCCACACCGATCACTCCCCACTGTCCATCGGATTTCCCCTACTTTCTGGGTCCCCCAGTGTGCTCCGCAGTGCCCAGCCTCTCCCCCCATCCTCCACACCAATAGGAGAGGAGGGAGGCTGGATCTGCTCTGCCTCCCCCTGTCAAACAACAAAAAAAGAAAAGAAAAATTCCTAGTTCACAATTGCCAGCCAGCCTGCAAACAAACCAAATTACCTGTCTAGCAGTATCCGATAAAAACAGGGTTTAGTTAGAACACATTTGCAAATACATGCGTAAGCCTCATCACGGCACCCCAGTACCTGTAAACCATTGCACCAGCCTGTAAACCATTGCACCAGCAATCAGCAGATCGCTGGTGCCATGCAGGTCTCTTGCAGATCTTTCAGTATATCTGCTTGCCCATACAGGATGTACCGGGATGTACCGGCATGTACGGGATGTACGGGGATGTACAGGCAAGCAGATATACCAACAGGAATATTCAATGAACTATTACAACACTGTAGATCTAAGCTGCCGGAACTTGTAGTTTCTCATTCACAGAACACAGTAAATGAGTGACACGGCCGGGTGGGTGAAGCTCCACACGGCCGCATTTTTTAAAAATTTTACAGCTAGCAAGGGGGGGGGGGGGAGAAGATTCCCCACTAGCTGTCAAAGCGGGAGAGCAGGGGCAGCAGTGGCCTGTGCATTCATAACATGCTACACCCTGAATATGGGTGTAACATGTTATGAAAGGTGAACATATCCTTTAACTTGAACTTTACTGAACACATGCAGAGTAGGAGTAACAATGCCATAGGGGGGAAATGAAAAAAGATGTGCATACAGCTACAAACAGGAGCTCTTAAGGGCAATGTTCATGTAACTCCATAAGGACACTACGTGGTAGTTCAGCAAAGTCTCTAAAAGGCTCTAAAGTACAGGACATTTGTCATAAGGAGTGTGACCAAGACTGCATTAAGGAAAATTCTGAAGAAAGACTTTTGTTTATGAAATGTTGTTAGTCCAACACATAGGTGAGCTTGTATTTTGATGATCATTTTTGTATTCAGCTAAACTAAGGCCAAATGTGGTTTCTATTTAAGCAAATGTTTGCAATAATGCAGAAAATGAAAGCATGTACTATTGGACTGTAAATTAAAGTGATTGTAATACATGTTATATATATTTTTTCTTATGATCTTAACATGGTATACTTTCCTTCTCTGTGCAATGCCCCCCCCCCCCCGGCTATCTTGCCTCCTCCTGTTCTATGTCTGCCCCCATAGCAAGTGACTTTCTATGGGGGCAGGTGTGTGGGCTTGATCGTGAGCCAGGATGTGTGCATCCATAGACATACACAGCGTGGCTTGGCCCAACCCTACACTTAATCCACAAATGATTTGAGAGCAGAAGCCAATGGCTCCTGCTGCTCTCAGTGAAATTTGTGAAAGAAGGAACAGTCGACAGATGAACTGAAGCCAGACACAGGGCTGGATCTATACAGGACTCAGGTAAGTATTTAAGGGGGAGCTTGGGGGCATTGCTATTGTAGGGTTTTTACCTTAATCAAGAAAATGCATTAAGGTAAAACACCTTTACATCCACTTTAACATTATTTGCCTTTAGTTATACTTAATGTAATAATTTTTTATTATTATTATTATACAGTATTTTTATATAGCGCCAAAAGGTTTGCTCAGCGCTGTACATTGTAGAGGGGGACAGTACATGAGACAATACAGTAACAAAACAAAACACAAGAAGTTGGCGGGCCCTGCTCTTTCGAGCTTACAATCTAGGAGATTGTAATAATAACTATAATTAATTTCTAATTTTGTGGATTTATATTAGATTTACAACACTAAATATTTTCATTTAGACATTTAGCTTTGTGAATTTGCGTGGATTGTATTACTGGATATTTATAAAAAAAAATGAATATGAATTTATCTTGGATCACACTAAATCAAAGAATAGAATTCATAATAGAATTCACAGAGCAACTGCTTACTACAGAGCAACAAAATTAGCATCTAGTGTAATCCTACTGAAGAGGTTCTTTCGTCTGGTAAAAAAAAAAATTAAATAAAAGCCAGCAGCTACAGTTATCGTAGCTGTGACTTTTAATAAACATGCACCTACCCCTCCAGGATCCAGCACTGTCCTCTCCTGGGCCAGTTCTTCAACACTCTTTGGATCCACAGCGCTGCCATATTTGATGTGGGAAGACGTCTGTCGTTTCTCGCAGCTTCACAGCTGGTTCTCCACTGCATATGCACAAGCTGTGCTGCGATTTGTGAATGGACTCACAGCCTCCTGGGACCTGTGACATGTCCAAGGTGTTGCAGGCAAGGTAGGGGGGTGTATTTCCGCTCAGATCTCCTTGGTGATCGGAGCAGAAGTGTTGGAGGAAAATGGGAGGAAAACTGGAATTTCCCATTTCACTTTTTAGGTGAAGTTCCACTTCCATTTTAACTGTCCAGAGTGGAGCTGCTGCTAGAGTTCCAAACTGTTGTTTTTAACACTGTAAGACCAGTGTGCAGTTAGAGGACTTTTGTGATGGCCAAAATCACAAAGGCCATCAGGCTATCAAAACTCAGCAACTTGCAGGGCATGATGACTATAAGCTTGGGCCACTTCTGAGCAATGAAAAGACTGAAGACAGATACTTTCTGTAACCTGTAATCTGTTATCACTAAGAAAATGTCATTTTTCATCCCATCCTTTTTAATTGTGTCTTATTTCACTGGCAGGTCAAGAGACTTAAATTGCATAAATAAAATCAGTTTCCATTGGTCATTGCAAAGCAATGTAACATGAGCAGCACCTGTCAATTAGAGATCTTTTCAGAAACTTATCATTGAATTAAAATTTTAAGCCCAAGCACTACAACGCTGGCAGTGGTGAGATTCTTTATTTCAGGCCATAAAACATCAAGCACTACATTCTATATGAGATTGTGAATTGTCTTTCGATGGCTGCTCAGCTCGTGGAGCCCTTCAGGAATACAACATTTATGTACATAGATAGGGACAGACAGAAAACCTTCATGATATTACAATGTAGTCCATTGAGAACAAATATTAAAAGCACCTTCTTTTTTGGGATTGAGAAAAAACATAATGTTGTATAATAGCATTAAATGTTAAAGCAAAAAGATGCTGGCAACCCGGTATGCTCTTCTGTTTACTCTTTATTGGCTGCATGACATGACTACAATAAAAAAAGCTAATGCTTTTTGGCCATACAGCCTTCTAACTATTAGGATGGCTGCATAGCCAAAACACGTTAGTATTTTCTTACTGTATTCATGTCATGTAGCCAATAAAGAGTAACCAGAAGAGCATACTGAGTTGCCATTATATTTAGGCTTTGGAATCAAAGCTTGTGCACCGGTCTTCAGCATGCATTTTAATGCGTTGTGGTTGAGCTTGGGTAAGACTCTTGTTTGCTATTAAATGTTGTTATTGGATCTTAATCATACCACAGTGGCTTAGTGGTTAGCACGTCTGCCTTGCAGTAAAATGGGTCATGGGTTCAATTCCCGACCATGGTGCCTCCTGTATGGAGTTTGCATGTTCTGCCTGTGTGGGTTTCCTCTGGGTGCTCTGGTTTTCTCCCACACTCCAAAG